AATAGTAATTATTCCTGCAATGTTTACACGTTTATTTGTACTGATTTTTTGTCAACATAATACTATATTTTTTGTTTCTTTTTAATGATTTCATTTTAAGTGTAAACTAAAATATTTGTCTTCTTCTAAGGTATCTGGAAAGTTCTACGTTCAGTAAGTAAGGGAGCGTTGGATTTATCATGTCGAGACTGTTGGATATGAAGGAGTTTGGAGAAGCGGCTCCGTTTCTGCGCAAAACCGACCTGGAGCTGCTGGCAGCGCAAACTGTGGCGTTTGATGGTACTTGAAATACATTTTCAAGTGACTTCAACAAATGTTTTACGGCGGATACAAACACTTCAGTTCTCTTTGAAATGCTTGCCATCTCGTTTACGCGGCGTCTTTTGGGTGTTCGTAATTGCACGTTAGGTTCTTAACTTGTTAATGTTGATAAATTTAGCATAGATAAATTTGGCATTGAATGATTGGATTTATAACAATCTAACCAACGAAAAACTTTGGATAATGACTGGACATAGACTGGATAATGATCACTGACAAGCCTCCCTTGTGCGCAGGAAAGAAACGCGCTTGGATACCAGATGAAAAGGACGCGTACATTGAGGTGGAAATCAGGGAGATTGATGGTGACAAAGTCATCGTTGAGACCAAGGACGGGAAGGTAAGGCTTTTTAGTTTAATTTAATTTATCGTGTCAAAACAATTGACATCCGAATTGAATGATTAGTGGATATGCCAAAACGGACTTTTGCTTCATTATTAACAGTGTTTCTGATTGGATTAGATCTCTGTTAATGAAATGAAACTATAATAATGATTTTTCTATAATGACGATTGTGGTAATACATAAATATACCGACATGAAATATTGTTTTGAGTTTATACTATTTTACATGTAGATTAGCCTACTTTAAAGTTTTTAAATAAGAAAAATAGCTCATTACAATGTAAAAGACGAAGACATTTAATTACATGCCTTCAGTAGTAGCAGTATTAGGCTAATATTAATCTGCAATCCAAGTTGGACTAGTTGGACGATGGACTAGTTAACTATCATGTTGGTCTGCAATGTAGATCTAACTTGTCTTTCTCTAGGCCTATTTTAAGTTTTCATCATCCACTCTGTATCTTACCGGTTCGATGTTATTCTGATCAACGTTTTGGTTTTCTTCTAAGCTTCTAGCCGTTTATTAACTTTTACCATGTTTACCGATATATTAAAAATAATAGCTTCCACTGAGGCTATTTGTCATTACAAGCGGTAGTAGTAACCGTTTGAAGTCGCCAGGTGGCGCTACTAACTATTTTTACGTGCGCTAGAATGAAAAATACAGGGACGGCGGAGTGATATGAAAGTAGCGCCAGTTTGTTGACATGAACTGGTGATCCAGTTTAGCGGTCATTTAAAATTAAAAACATATTTGACAGCTCAGTGTGCGATTGACCAATCAGAACCAAATATTGCTTTTAATAATGGATCTTTTTTCTGTAACCCTGCTTATTGCCTCTAAATCCTGCAGTGCTTAACTGTGAAGGAAGATGACATTCAACAGATGAACCCTCCTAAATTTGACATGATAGAGGACATGGCCATGCTCACACACCTGAATGAAGCTTCAGTGCTCTATAATCTGCGGAGGCGCTACAGCAATTGGATGATCTATGTTGGTACCATCACATCACAGCTCAAAGCAAAGAAACGATCTGCCCTTTCTCACTAATCTTTGATGCCACAAATAACCTGACCAGAGCATTAAACATAGAGGGGCGGCACTATTCATAGGACTTTACGGTCACAGTAATGAATTTAACACTTGCCTTTGCCAAGGGACAAATACAAGTGAATTCCCTAGAGGCATGACCTTTATAAGTGCCACAGTCAAAAGTAGCCTACCTCATAAAGTCATCTCTGGGAAGTTATGTTTTCCTGAAGAGCTTTTAAACAGATCCTGTACATGGGAAAACTCAAATTTGGAAGTCCATATATATATAAAAGAAAAGTTAATAGTAAAATTGGCATTTAAAATAGTCTCATTAGGAGATATAACAGCACACTCTTATGGCAATGTGTAACTATTTTACGTTTTTGGCGAATTGGTGGGTAATTCATATACATTTTTACAATCTCACACATATGTTTTTGTACAGTCTGCTTACACCCCACTGACGGGTATGTTTGGATTTCTTTTTTCTAAAAATCGTACATTTTTGGACAAATCAAATTGTATGAATTCATGCAAAATGCCAGCTCATTAAAATAGTTA